GGGATATATCGTATCGTGACCCCTCTGTCATGATATGTATCGTATCGCCAAATTCTTGCCAATACACAGCCCTAATTAACAGTGTTGTTAATAAACCTTTTTCAGCTTCTTCATCAGCTTTTTGTAAAATTCGGTCAGCATTAAGCATTCACTCTGCATTTTCACAGGAAACCAAACTGTCCAGTTTGCGTTAGACTTGCAAAAGTTTGTGTTACTCATTGTGTGGGGAGACTTCAGTCTGAAGCAGCTGTTTGCCTACCTCAGCCACCATAAATCTAAACCCTACATGGCTGGACCTGCCTGCTCGCTCTGCTTCGTGTCACGCAGTGCCKGCGCACAGCTGGGTCTGTGTGCAGAGGACTGCCGTACGGTGAGTAAGCAGACACACATATTCACCACTGTCTGACTTGTTTCGTGTGAGGAGCAGACTGGGCCTCGAGGCCTGACTGGGTTGAGCTCACCTTCACCTCCACATCACCAGTACAGAGACAGGACACACAGAACATGCACTGAAATTACACTGACTTTGAAAAGTCTTCATACACCTTGAACTTTTATTTATTTTCCTCATTTTGCCTCATTTCAACTAAAGTTACACTAAATAAATCTGTCATTAATTGTGGTTCAACAGAAATATTTCTAAAATCAAACTGGTCTTGACTAAATCAGTTGTACCCCTAGAAATGAATGTAACCAGAGAATTTGCACTTTCTGCAAAAATGCAATGTGATTGCTTAACGCTGAACAATTTTTTTTACAGAAAAATAAGATGTGCAAAAATTTGGTAAATGTTGTGAAAATGCTAAAATTAGAAAATGAAAAATGATAAATCCAGCAAAGAGGCAGGAACAGCATGTTTGCTGAATTAAGCAGCTAAAAGAAATAGCTAAGATTATTACAAGAAAGTGCTTTAGCTGAAAAACAGCTAAAAGTAGCTTAAATTAAAAAAAAGCTGAAAGAAGAATAAGAAGCTAAAATTTGAGTGAAGCTGATAGAAGAAATAAAGTCTAACCAGAACAGTTGAAAAGAGCAGAAAGATTGCTTAAAGAGCAGAAAAAAGCTAAAATTGTCAAAACTGAAAGCGAAGGAAGCTAAACTTAGCAAAGGATGGATAAAACATATGGTGACCAAAGAGTCCAGAACAACTTCCAAAGAGATTAGAAGTGAGCTCTAGGGTCAAAGGTCATCTGAGTCAACTGTTTGAGACAAAGTTGACTTAATGGAAGATGACAAAGGAGGGCATCATTGTTGAAAATAAATCTTTAAAAGGAAAAAAAAAGACATTTATTCTTATAAAGTGTTATTATTTCTTTATGGTTGTTTTATTTTTATTCTTTTTGTTTTATGTCTTCATCGCGTCGATCAACAATTTGGTTTTCATTCAATTTTGAAAAAGTTTTGTCTGAAGTAGAGTTTCTGAGGCGCTGCTGTCCTCTGCTGGTGGGCCTGAAAAACAGATCCAGAGCTGATCCAGTCAGCTCCTGGACCGTAGTGCTCCCATTACAGGGAACTGCAGCTCAGTGGTCTCTGTAGAAAAATTCAGACCACCTGTAATGCACAACTCAGTCTAGTTAAACTGATTTAAACGACTGAAATCTACTGATTCCTCAGTGTCTAATGTTCTGTCTAATAAAATGCCATGTCATCATATTTCCTGTCCTAAATCCTAAAGCGTTAACGGAGTTTATATATATAT